AATTTGTATATTTAAAATACCAATTAGATAAATATTATATTAATTTTCAAAGTTGGAATGTGGTGAAAAGTAATTCTATTCTTCCTAAAAGTAAAATAAATAAAGGTTTAAGCCCTTTTCAATCTAATGGGTCATGTCCTAGTGACGGAAGTGACTGAAAGTATTGTGTTCGAGCCTTGGAGGATGCAAAGCTAAAGGAAGTTTTTCAAGAATTTTAAATCGTCTGGTTGAATGGTTTAATAGTTTACACCAGTTCAAGCGGTTCTGCCAGTTTTGAATGGTTCAACCTCTCTACCGGCTCCAAGCACTTAGTTGACCCGTTTATAATACCAGGTGTTGGTCTGACCGGTTCAATCGACCGATTCGGTCTGTTTTTTAAAACTTTGATTTCTATTTTATTCTTAACATAAATAAAAGTCTTAAAAACTAGCTAGGTTTAGCTTTTCTAGAGGCTATTTCTTGGCTTGTCTTTTCTTCTTCTTTTCTTACTCTAGAGAATCATATTAAGACATAGTTAAACTTTCAATAAAACCATGGAGGATCTTGATTGAAGAGTTTAACTTGTTATTTTATTTTTATTCCTTTAGAGATTTTAATGTTTAATTTTATTTTTGAGAAATTGTTATTTATTTTTAGATTTAAAAACCCTAGAAGTTATATTCATCAAGTTTCATATAAGATTAGTCATGCTTTTTTGTGTGTAATTTGTTAAAATATAATTAATTGGTAGATTTGTTTTGTGAGTTAATTTTTTATTACAGTATTGTCGATTAGATATATTGTCGTTTTCGAATAATTCATAAGAATAGATTAATTTGTTTTTCATTAAATTTAATTTCTCTCAAAATAAATACTTTGGTTGTTATTATTCATCTTCAAAATTTTATTTTTTGATTGTTTGTTTTGAATGTAAAACATGCAATTAAGTAATAACAAATAGGAATCAAAATTGATAATAGTTGAATAAACCAATTAAGTGAACCCTAAAGTTTTATTTATCATAATATTGTTTTCAACCTTTTATAATTATTATCATTTTTATTCAAATATTTATTGTTGATTTCAAAATTCATCTTTTTAATGTAATTATGAATTGTAATGACTCTTTTTATTAGTTTAATATAGTTTCTCTGTAGATCCAACACCTAAAACTACCCTTCCAACAACTATTTAGCCGAAATGTATTAATTGTTGACTCAATGCACTCCATAAGGGGGGTGAATTGGAGATAAAAAAGTTCCTCCTCTTGGCAACTGTAAAGCAAAAAATTAAAGAGAGTAAGGAAGAAGAGCTTACACAATGATTTTATAAAGGTTTAATTCAACCACTTGGAGCCTAGTCCTCTACCTTGCCTTCACTCACCAAGGATCTCCTCCACACTCTCCGCTAAGAAGAATAAGGGTGGCTTAAAAGGAGCCACTCAATTCTTTTACAAGAATATGACTTTTTCTTCCAAATCTCACCCCTTTACAAGATAAACCCAAGAATCCTTATTACAAATCACTCTTGAAGGAATAATCACATCCCAAGATAACTCACAAGTAGAATAAGAAGAGGATTACAAGAAAAGATCACTCGAAAATCAAAATCTCAAGTTAAAGCACAAGTTGGTAGGTAGAGATATTCAATATAATGCTTAAAAACTTGTTTCAGATCTTCTACCAACCATATTTATACTCCTTACTTGAAAATAGCCATTTCTACCCATTGGGGTTCAATAAATGCTTTGCAGATCAGTTTATGTGTGAGAAAAGTTGCTATGGATTTGCTACTAGAGTTGGCTCTACCTCCAAAGACAACAACTTTGCAAAGTCGGTTTTCATGTTTGAAACTGACTTTCTTGTGGCTCCTGCGCATTATGTTCTGAAGAGCTAGTTGCAAAACATAAACCTGGCTTAGGAAATTTGACTTCAAATGATTAAAAAGTTCTTCAAAGAACTTGACCATTGAGTATTAAATGCGCCATCATAGTCGGTTGCAAAGTTATAGTTGGCTTTGCATCCGTTTTCCGCTCATGCCAAAGTGTAAGTTTAAAACTTTCACCCATGAAGCCAGCTACAGTTTTAAGCCAACTCTTTGCACATTTCTTCACCAAAGCCAGTTGTAGAATTCTAGAGCCAGCTCTTTGCACCACTTTCATCATATTTGATCGATTTTTTGCGCAGTCCAATTTCACTCACTTTTGTAATCTTTAAGGTGATAAACTACAAACTTAGATAAACAAGTTAGTCATTCAAATGTGTTTTGTAATCATCAAAATTATAAGTACAACATTAATTTTGGGCGAGATATCATTAATATAAAGATGTACAAAATAGGTAAATTAATGTGTAAAAAAGTTTTGAAGGTGGCGTTGTTTTAGCTTTAAATCTTTAGAAAGCCATGAAACTTATATAATGCAATGTTGTGTCAGAATATTTTGTGAAGTTTGGTTTGAATCAATTAGTTAAATACCATTTTTGGTCCCTCTACTATAAGAAAAAGTCCTTTTTGGTCCCTGTACCGAAAAATCCCTTTTTTGATCCCTAAATTTTAAAATCCGACCCCTTTTTAGTTCCTCCGTCAAATTTTGCTCGCGTGGCACGTTAACTTAACTAGAACAGCTGACGTGGGTATGCCAACATGTAAAAAATGCTTACGTGGACTTCTGACACCTGCCACGTCACTTGCCACGTCACTCTCCCACGCGCGAAAATGAAAAAAAATTGGAGGGGAGAGTGACGTGGTGAGTGACGTGGCAGGTGTCAGAAGTCCATGTAAGCATTTTTTACATGTTGGCATACCCACGTCAGCTGTTCCAGTTAATTTAACGTGCCACGCGAGCAAAATTTGACGAAGGGACTAAAAAGGGGCTGGATTTTGAAATTTAGGGATTTAAAAAGGGATTTTTTCGGTACAGGGACCAAAAAGGAGCTTTTTCTTATAGTAGAGGGACCAAAAAGGATATTTAATCGAATCAATTTTGGGTATACTCTTTAACTAAATTAGAAAATATTATTATTTCTTGTATATACAAAAATAAACATAGAATGCTTGAAGATGGAAACAAATTAAAAAAGCAACATATTTCTTCAAGAATTAGTGTATTTCACATTTGAATGTTGTTAAATGAGTTTTGAAATCCCTACGTTAAAAAAAGGAAAAATTGAATCCTTGATTCATCTTGATAATTGTGTGTTTCTGTAATTAATGGGAGTATTATTTATTAATGTTCTCTTTTCAATTCTATCAAGCAAGCCTTTTCTTCAAATATTAAAAATTTCTAACTCGACCATATTTTTTAATATTTCAATTATTTGATTGTTTTAATTATTTTTATCTATTAATTTTATATGCCATACCTATTGATATATGTTCACTTAATATGAATTTTCAGGTAGAACTAATACGAGAGTATATTTTGTTCTCATAGAGTTATATAGTACCATATGTAACAACAATAACTTATGCAATTCCTTGTGTTGTAACTATCTGTATTTACTTTGCCTCAATTATTTGTACACGTAATATATTAAACATATTATTAAATTTTCTCTATTGAAAATCTGCTAAAAGCAGGTGCTTTTCTTCTATTATTATATATAGAGTGCTTATGTTTGAGTTTAGGGTGCAAGAGTTTAAATTTTCGAGATTAATGATTATAATGTTAGGGTTTAGAATTTAGTGGGTCAAGGTTTGATTTTTTTTTTTAAGATTTAGTATTGAAGGTATTAAAGATTACATATTTTAGGTTTTAGAATTTAGGGTGCTAAGATATTAGATTTTTAAGGTTCAGGATTTCTATTATTATGGTTTACGTTAAAAAAATTAAAAATAAGAAGGCTTCAAAGTAAAAAGTAAAAATTATTAAACCTAAAAGAAAAACACTATAAAGGGTTAACGTTATAATTTTATTGTTTAAAAAATCATCTCTCCCCTCCCCGTCCCCTCCATTGCAGTTAGAGCAAACATACTCTAAAGAATTATCCAACCAAATAGCAAAAAAATAAAAATAGTTTGGTTTTAGGTACTTCTTAATTATTGAATTTACTTAAATTTAATTTATTTTAACCAAAATTATCAAAATTTTTTATTTACTTTAAGAAATTAATTAGAAGATAGCTTTTGTATACCTTTAACAAAAAAAAAAAAAAAACATATTGATTGTAACAAATTTGGGGAGCAACACAGATTTTCGTTTACCATGGCGACACTATTGCTGACGCAATTTACAGAGGACCACCTTAAGAATTTTCGTTGATATATATTGAGAACTCTGAATGTGTTCTACATCATTGTAGTCTTTGGTATATCTAGGCAATCCAACTTATCTATTACTTCCTACAAAGGGTAAGCCGATATTATCTATACTTCCACATCACCATCCCTCTCCTTGCAAAAATGCCTTTAAAGCATTTGAGATGAAAGAACTCGGCTGGGACAATCGTGGGAAACTGTAGTAGACCTAATCATTGGATTAAATGTTATGTTCATGAAGGTTACATATGTCAATTTTTAGATTAATCAAATATATATACCTAACAAAAAAATGCAAATTAGTCCCAACTCCCAAAAATAATTAAAGCCCAATTTTAAACTACGTCATTTTATTTAATTAAAATATAATTCAAAATTTAAAAAATTATCTTATTAAATGTTGATATATTAGAGTATATAATGAGTTTCTAAATTTAAATATTAACATTGAATAGAATTAAATTTTAATTTTTAGATATAGGTTGGGACTTCGATTGTTTTTTGGAGTCGAGATTAATATGCATTAACCTCATATATGTAATTAGTTTATTAATTATAGAAAATTTAATATCATTAAATATATGTTAGTAAATTGAGTTTTTTTTTTTTTGGATAAAAAAGTTATAAATATTAGATCAATTTAAAAATTAACATGTGTGATTTATATGAATAGGTAAAAGGTGCAAATTCCCCCCAAAATTATTATATTGAAGTAAATTGTCACAAAAAAAGTGTTGACACAACTTGTCACCCCAAATTTTCATTTTCAAAAAATCAACTTAAATTTAACAATTACCATTAACTTTCTATTAAATTTCAAGAGCAATAGTTTAACAAAATGGAACGAAAATTGTTAAAGTTAGACTAATTTCTTAAAAATGGAAATTCAAAGGGCAAATTGCATCAACATTTTTTTTTTTTTTTTTGCTTTAATGCAACAATTTTAGAAGCAATTTGCACATTTGGTCTATATTAATATAATACTTAATCTAATTGTTAGTTTTTGAAAATATTAATTAAAATGTGAATTTTTAGACAGATCCTCCAAAAAGAATTTAGGAAGATGACATGTTTTACAATGCCATTATATGTAAGATATAAGATATACATGTAAGATGTCAAATAAGATAAGCTCTTTATGAAACTTTGATGCCAAATAAGTCTTTAAAGTATTAGCATGTTTGGTTTGAGGGAAGGGGGATTAATTTTCTTATTTAGATAATAAAAATTGTAGGGGAGGGGAGGGGAGGGGAAGGGAAGAGTTTTCTTTTAAATTCTTTTATAATTTTAGTATGAATTTTGCAAATCTTTGTCTTTAAGTTACAAATTAAGATCACATTAATTGTATATTTTTTCTCATTAATTGGTATAAAAAAATAAAAATTGATTTTAATTTTATCAACCATATAATTAAAATCATGCTTATGTCATTGACATTAAAATTAAAGTTATCCCTTTTGTTTTTCTATACAAATTAATAAGAAAAATTGCAATTTATGCACCAAGGTTAAACAAATGCTTCTACTATTACCAAATGAAGGAAAGAAAAGGGAAAAAAGGAAAGGGTAAATTTATTACTTGTAGCACATGTGCCCAAAATACATAGAGCGTTGATTGCGAATTGCAATTTTTTTTTCTAAACCAAAAAAAAAAAAAAAAATTGCATTTCTATAGATAGTGAATATGAAGAGATCCCATCTGAACTTATTTCAAGTAATTAAATTAAAATTTTTAATTAATAAAATAATTTAATTGGTTATAATAATTTTCCTCCATTTGCAGATTACTCAAAAAAAAAAAAATAATAATTTATCTGCAATCAACACTCAATAGTACAAGTTCTTGGCAAAATAGAAATTGTATAGAGATGTAGTCTCTCCTTCGGCCATGGCTATGGCTTTCCTTAGCCTTTTCTTTCTGTTTTTTATTTATTCATTTTGTTCCTCTTTCTTTTATTTACTTTTCTTTTTGAATCAATCTTTGTATTTGTTAGGCAATCCTTTCTCTACAAAGCTACTTCTATGATGGTCACTATGAGAGTTTTTATCTTTTTTGTTGTTTTAATCTCAACTAGAGTTTGTGAAAGTTTATAATCTTTCTTGGTATTTTAGGTGTGTGTGGTTTATGGGAGGCTTAGCATAGTTATAGGTGATCCTGTGATGAAGTTGGAGTTTCCCCCAATTATTTCCTTTAGTGTGCAGTCAAAAAGGAGCTCTTTGGGGTATGGTTGTTTGGCCATGGTGGATAGGGCACGAGGACAATAGTCTACCTTGAGGAAAGGATAGTGTTTTTATGTGATAAATGAGATAAACTAGCTATTAGAAGTCAAGCATCACTTGAAGATGGAGATGGAGTGGCAATTAGTGGTGGCATGAATTGTTCCAACGAGAAAACAGGGTGTTTGGCAATCATATCTTATTTGATTTTTTTGAAAGGTGATGTGGAGAAATCAAGACTCTCATTTGATTACGGGGATACTTGTTGAATTATTTAACTTACAAATGCAGGATTGAAGCAAATATTTAAAGAAGACAATCTGGTGGGTGGAGGGAAAGAGCATTAAGCACATTGTGGGCATTAATTATGAAATATTATGATGTTTTGTTTTAATTAAAAAATGCTTGGATGAATAAGTTTGGTGGCTAATTAGGAAATAGACTTTTTTTTTTTTAATTTATATGGTATATATTTTAGTTATAATTAGAAGGATTTACTTAGATATATTTAGGTAGAATTAGAGAGGTTCGAGGCAACAACCAACATTAAGCCCTTCACATTACAAAATTAATAGGTTTTAACCCCTCATCTTATAACATAACATTTTAAGCCATTTACTTATAACATAACATTTTAAGCCCTTTACTTTACAAAATTGGTAGGTTTTAGCTTCTCACCTTACAAAATTGGTAGGTTTTAACCCCTCATCTTATAACATAACATTTTAAGTCATTTACTTATAACATAACATTTTAAGCCCTTTACTTTACAAAATTGGTAGGTTTTAGCTTCTCACCTTACAAAATTGGTAGGTTTTAACCCTTTACCTGATATTATGACATTTTTAGCCCCTCACCTATACGAATTGAAGAAAATATCCCTCACCTAACATCAAGTTGTAATATTCTGTTAGTTCTGTTAGCTGACTGTTAACCTTCGTTAGCATTCTGTTATAAAAAAAATATGAAATTTAAATTCAATTTTATATGTTAGTTCCATTAACGGAATGTTAACGGATATTAACAGTCAGCTAATAGAATTAACAGTTAGTTAACAGAACTGATAGTTAGTTAACAGAACTAATAGAATATTATAATTTGATGTTAAATGAGGGTTATTTTCTTCATTTCATACAGATAAGGGGTTAAAAGTGTCATAATATAAGGTGATGGGTTAAAATCTATCAATTTTGTAAGGTGAAAGACGAAATTTATTAATTTTATAAGATAAAAAGTTAAAAATGTTCTATTATAAAGTTAATAACTAAAACTTACCAATTTTTATAAAGTAAGAAACTAAAAGTTAGTTTTAGCCCACGTTAAGAGCTCCATTATATCCTTGATTAAGTTTGTAGTTGTTAATTTTTATGAATGAAATTTATTTTTTTATAAAAAATAATTTTCTTCCACTGTTCTCCACTCTCGAACCGAGCATGGTGAGGGGGCTATTTGCTACCATCTGTACGTTGGTGTGGTTAAATAAAAATTTTGTTAAAAAAATTATTGTTGAAATATTATTTTTGTAAATAAAAAAATAAAAAAAATACATTAATTTAAATGAAATAAATAAAATATTAATTTATAAAAAATTATAATATTTTTTATAAATTATAATATTTTAACGCAACCGATGCTTTTAAGATAAAAAAAAAAATTCCAACCAGCTGTTCTAAACATAACCAAAGTTTCATCCAGCAGCTTATCCACAGAATCACCGTGAAAATTATTTTGAATGTTGCTTAGAAAAAAAGAAGAAAAGAAAAATGAAAAATTGCCTACTTTTCCTTGATAATTCAGTGACAAATTTTTTAGCCGTTTGAAATTGGCTTGAAAATGCCTTCGGAGTATCACTGGTTCTCAATGACAACCTGTTCCGATTTGAAATTCGGAGAATATGGGAAATTTCGCTGTTTTCTGTGCTTAACTCCATCTCGGAGGCTGTATTCCCGGCGGTATTGTGAAAATGGAGGCGACACTGAACCAAATCATCCCCATGAATGACATCCTCACCCAATGTTTGCTTCCCCAGATCGAGATTCTCGAAACTGATGGTTTAGTTGTTTGCTTCCCCAGCTCATCCAAACAAATGATTGCTAAATCACCGTCTGATTTTGACACGTGTAATCTTGAAGCTTACTTCGTCGATATGACAACCGAAAAGCAGAAAAAGAGAATCTTCCCTTTTGCAATCGTTCTGGAGACGTCAACTCCTCCTGCGCTCAGGCCGTCAGCAAAATCAAACAACTGAGGCTGCAGGCATGGGTGGGGGTAGTATTACCTCTCCCAGTTTTACTTCTGGTTTGCTCGAATCCTCTCTCTTTGTTTTCTTTTCCTTTTGCTCATATGGATCTGTGATATTTCCTTTTCTTGATGTTTCCAATCGTTAATCATGGCAGAAGAAGAATCCTCGGAGGACCAAGATTTCCAGAATTCATACAAAGCGGATGGTGAGGTGGTTTTTGGAGAACTCGATCAAGTGGGTTCTCGATTCTCTTCTTCCTCTACTTTGGAGTTTGAAGCTGATCGGAGGAAGAAATACAGAGTCTACAATGAGATTTTGCAAAGTTATGATCAATTGCATGTTCGTAGTGAGAGTCTTAACGAGGCTAAGAGGAAGGTTCTGAGGTATATTTATGTCAGCTCAAATTTATTCATGAGAAATGTTATAGTATTAACACAAAATGCAATTTATCTTCATCGGAGGATAAACTAATCTTGCATTTCGAAGAAAAAAAAATGGGTTCAATTAAGTTGTATAAGGAGTGAAAATTAAAGCACGTTTCCTATTTTCTAGAGAGGAATAAATTTACATCTACCAAGTAATAAATGGCACTTGTAAACCCATGAACAAGAACATGTAGATTGCCAAATTGGAATTTAAGTTTTATGTTTAGATGTTAAAACATAAGTATTGCAGTTATGAGTCTTCTGACAAATTAGTAACATCATGGTTTTACCAATCTATTTAAATTGCAATTTATTTTCCTTTGTCTTGTTCAATGACTTGTGACCCGTGCAAATGACTTTTCCATATGCTACATGGACTTTCAGAAGCTTCCTTCCTGTTTTTGTTTTGTGATAATGACTAATTCCATCCTATTTTGAACCCTGTTACGAAATAAATATGGTAGTACTATATACATTTAGGTATGCTGTCATTAGATTTAAGATCTCTGTCAATGCCATTTGAATTAACAATGGGTTCTTATTTTGTAGGACGATGTGATGCACGTTAGGCTAAAATAGAGATTTCTGAATAGCATAATGGCATTTCATGCCATATATGGCAATTATTTCAGCATATCTTTTGGGAATTGAAATTTGGTATTTTTCATTCATATTGGCATAAAGTTGGTGTTTTGCCAGCTGAATTGACTTGATATTTGACCTTGGCAGCTACTACCCTGGAGCATGGATTGGGAACATGGGTTGCATGAAACTTAATGACTATGATGTACCAGAAACAACAACACTTGTTTTAATTGGTCCAAAAGGGTGTGGAAAAAGCAGTCTTGTAAATAGAATTTCAAGGGCGATTGAAGCTGACAAGTTTGCACCAGAAAGAGCTCAAGTATCATGTAATGCTACTTCAGATGTTAAATTCATGAAGGATGGAGTTTTGATTTAAAATTTCAAATTTTTGCTGTATCTTTTCTACCGTTTTTAATCATTATCTTATGCTATACAGATAATTCATCTGTCAGAGATGGTACCTGCTTTCTTCAGGAATATATGGTCCCAAGAGGTTCAACTTCTTTCTGCCTTTATGATACCCGGAGTTTGTGTGATGACCCAACTGACAACATTGATATGATAACAAATTGGATGACCGAAGGTGTTTGTCATGGGGAACTTGTTTTGAGGTCTGAAGTTCAAGCTTATCATAGTATTTGGTTCTGCAAATAATATTTTTCATGTTTTATATTTAGTCATTTTGTAATTTGCTTTTTAGGAAATCAGATGTGCCAAGTTTAAGGAGCATGATGAAGTGCAGCACTCAAGAGAAAAATTGTCAGTCCAGTAAGATCCGGATGGTTAATTTTGTCATTTTTGTTGTTGATGGGATTGCTGTGTTGAAATCTATGGAGGGTGATGGCACTGGAATAACAAAGTACATGCAGACCATTTCTACAGTTTTCAACTGTCCATACTTGTCATTTAAAGGTATCAGTCTATTATTAACTTGCTTTAACTCATTTATTCTTTATGGAGTTAATGCATATTGCACAACTTTGATTTTTGTACTTTCTCAATAGTTTCCTTCTTTTCACTATTTTTCTTGTGTTATTAACATGTTGGTGAAAGCAGCATTGGTACAGATGTTCAGAAAAAGCATTGTGGAAAGGTCATAAAATACAGACAGTGGACTGTGTGCTATTAGAAGCCACATCTCCACTTTCCCCTACATAAGAAATGATGAAAAATAAGAACGTAAAAGGAGTAGAGATGATAGGATTAGGATTAGTCAAAGTATATGAGCAGTAGATTAAGGGGTTAGAATGCTTGTCGAAGTAATACACTTTCATCTTCTTGGTCCCATAGAGGAGGGAAAATGATGTAAATCCAGGTGGCATAGTTTGTATCAGAAAATACACACACACACACACACACAATATCTCATGAAGGACCTTGAGCGAAATTTGCTTTATATTCATAATTATTTTTAATTGAATTAGCAACACATCTAGCTCTAGATGCCATGCTGAATAGCATGCTGTGTTGCAGAAGTGCTAGGCGGTGGTACCACTGCCTAGCTGTCTATGTGAGGTGTCCAGCCACCGTGTAGCACCTAGGTGGTGCCTAGGAGTGCTTTTGCAAAAGTGATAACATGATTGCACTACCATTTGGTGTAAATTGTTGGAATTTGAGATTTAAGATGATATGTAAAGATCTGAATGGCATGAAGAATTTACAATTACTTTGAAATTTTGTTTATAGTTAATATTTGAACTTTCACCATGTGTATTCTTGTATTCTCACTTTTTTCTCTTCCTATTCTTTTTTTCTTTTTTTTCTTTAATTCAATATTTGTCTATATAAATTTTCTTCTGAGTTCCCTAATTGCTAAATCTTCTTTCTTCTTGTTAAGATGATAAGCCTGTTGTAGTGGTTACTCATGGTGATTTACTTTCAATTGCTGACCGTGTCTGGGTACGGGTCCACTTAGGAGAGCTGCTGGGTATTCCTCCTGCGAAACAAATTTTTGACATTCCAGGTGATTTCATCAACTGGTTCATCTTTATTTTCTTATATATACTGTGGTAAAATGAAATTACCTTTTCCAATTGATCGTTTATGTGATTGACTAGATTTGAGGGATTGACAATAACCAGTTTTGGGCTTGCAGGAAATTCTGATGCAGCAACAGAGTTGACAATAGTTGACATGTTGCGCTATTCACTTGAGCATGCAGATCGAAATCTTCCTCTGAGAATTGTGGAATCATCTTATCATACATTTCACCAAGAGGCAAATCTTTGCAATAAGTCTGAAGAGGAAAAGAAAACTGACGAGGTTTATTCTTTTATACTAATTTCATCTATTTTCAAAGTTGAGGATCCCTTTTGGTCTAGTTGGCATAATAACTTTCCATCTTCCCTTTGGTGTTGAGATTTGGATAAAATGGCATTGTCGTCACTTCTTCCAGGGAAAAAAGCAAAATGAAGAATCATCCTATCAGATGATTCAACGGGAGGCAAGTCTTCACAATAAGTTGGAAAAAGAAAAGAGAACTAATGTTTTTATATAAAATTCATCTATTTTGTGAGTTAGGATCCTCTTTTGGGCTAGCTCCTAGCTGGTGTAATAGTTTCATTTCTTCTCTCTGATGTTGAGATTTGCCTAAAACAATGTTGCCATTACTTCTTCCAGGGAAAAAAGCAGGATAAGGAGTCATCTTCTCAGACAAATCACAGAGAGGGGAACATTCAGAATAAGTTGGGAAAGGGAAAGAAAGCTGATAAGGTTATGTCTTTTATACAAAATTCTTCCATTTTGAAAGTTGGAATCTCTTTTGGACTGTAGCTGGCTTACTAATTTCCTATCTCCTCTCTGGTGAGTCTGGTGGGGAGATATGCCTAAATCACCTTTGTCACCACCTTTTTTATGGGAAAAAGCCATGAACTTGCGTAAATGCTCTTGTTATATTTACAATGCAAAAATGCTATCATATTCTAGGAACCATGTTGAACTTGAATCAGTAACACAACTATTTTCCTTCCTTTGCTTGGTTGAGCTATTCTGACTGTTGCCAATCTCTCATCACCTTTTAGAAGATGATGACAACTTGGATCTATGTCAATTGAAGATGATAAGATAAAAAATGCAAGTGGAAGTGCATATGCTTTTACATTGGATAAGAGAAAAAGCATAAGAAAAAATAATATACATAAAACATTCAAATATCAAGAATCCTTACCTGATATAGTCTGACCCAGAAGTCCTTGCAGGAGCTTCCTTTTCATTTTAGGGGCGGCTAAGTTGTTTCCTCATAATCCTTTGCTGGAGACTTGCCTGCAACCCTCAAGTTCAAACTAGAGGTTGAGAGCCACTGCAAAATGCAGTCCAAACCTCTAAAATATGCTTTTTAATAAGGTCTTGATGCCATGTCTTGGTTTGACAGTATCCTTTGGGCCACAGTAAAGTTTAGTTGGTATTTCTGACTTAGCACACAAATCTATGGAACTCTATGGAACCCACAACTGTGTAGTCCCTCTTTAGGCAAGCTTCCAACCTATATAGGAATGCAGGAGGTTTTTCTCTTTTTGTTAGTATTTGGAGGGAGAAATTGATATAAGAGAAGAATCTTTTTTGAGCAGTACTACGACAGTAGCTATTATGCCAATGATAACATGTTAGCCATTAACTGTAAAACCTTGTGGGATCAAGTCATTTAAATGCCAAAGCCACTTTCATTATTTACTTTGCAGTGCATCTACCATTGTTCTTATGCACTTCTTGATTCTGCTTCTATGTTTTGCATTATTGGTGATGTTACAGTGACACATCCAGTTTATAAGCTTCATTTTTCTTCTTCCTCTGTTGAAAGGAATTGTTTAGGGTGGTGGTTTGGTTGGGAACACCTGGCATGAAAATAGGTTTTGGTAAAGGCTGGTGACCGACATGGTAAATAGGATTATTGCCAGCCTCCTCCAACTGATCTCATAAAGCCAATAAATCCTGGGATTTTAAATCGTTTGCAATTGGGGGGAAAAATGGTTTGCAATATGTGAAAACTTAGATCTGTAGAAATTATCGAGACCTTTGCAAATTAACCCAAGGCTCTAAAAAAGTGATGCCATTCAGATCATATTTCCTTTTTTTTTTTTTTTCTTTTTTGGTTGGATAACGTGGGTATCCAGGCCTTTGGCCCTAGTAATCCAGGGCAGCTGCAAACCATCCTGTCCACAGGTGCCGGACAAAGCTCCACTTTCAAGGGTGGTAGGCGTGGCCCATTGGAAATGTTTGCATTCAAACAGCAATAGAGGGACTTGAACTTGCATTCTTAGGCATAGTTCAAATCCATCTTTATCACTTCACTTGAGCCAACCCAATCTGTTCAGATCCTATTTCGTTGTTCTTATTGATCCCCCATGAATTTGTGATATAGGTACTGATGATGTCAATATATGATTTGCAACTGATGATATAAAGTTTAGCACTTGTTACATTGTTTGCTGAATTGCCCTTGTTTCTTGTTGATGGGAAGTATGTGCAATTCGCTTAATTATTTTTCTTGCAAACTTTTTCTTGTTAAAAATGTGCCTTGAATATGATGAATTGCATGCAGGTTGACATTATGTTCGGTATCTGTGTACTTTCTTGTGTCATTTTTGGGTTGGTGGTGGCGGTGTTTTTAATCAAGGATGAATCAGAGTCTCACATTAATTGGTATGCTATCAGGCACATATCATAGCCTGCTATATCTGGTTTGATGCCCTCTATCCAACTTCTTTATGGGAAACAATTATATCTGGAATGATTTCTTATGTGGTGTGAATGGTTCTTTCTTTAATAATTTCTGTATGTTCAAGGAACCTGTCTTGTTAAAGTGAAATAACTTTTTGTAATCATGTCTGGACTCCTGATGTACAGGCTCTTTATCAATCAATTGATCATCATCAAGTAATTTTCTTACAGCCTGCAGAATAATGAAGTCAAGGATTCCAAGCACATACAAGAGTTGGCTAGAAGAATTGAGGATGAAGATGGAGCAAAGGGAAGCCATATTGTTCTGAGGAATATGGACACAAATGACAGGGGAGTTAAATGGCCTGGGTGTTGTATGGAGATTATTGGCAACCAATCTGAAGAAGAAGAGAAAGCTGAGAATAAGAATGAAGAGTATGGGAAGGTCAGTGGGGAAAATGAAGAGTATAGGAAGGTCAGTGGCAAAAGAAACCATGTTGCAGCAATTGGTTTGCATTATGCATCTATTCCAGAGTTCTTAGGGGATCAGGAAAGAGTTGAAGGAATTGTAGAGTTGGCTAGAAGAATCAGGGATGAAGATGGAGCAGCAGGAAGCCATAATGTTCAGAGGAATGCAGACTCAATTGAAAGGGGAGCTAAACTGCCTGGAAGGGCCATGGAGAAGATTATTATTGTCACCCAAACTGAAGAAAGGGAGAAAGCTGAAAATAAGAATCAAGAGTATACCAAGATTAGTGGGGAAAGAAACCATGTTGCAGCATTAGGCTTGGATTATGCTTCTGTTCAGAAATTCTTTGGGGATCAGAAAAGAGTTGAAGGAAATTTAGAGTTGGCTAGAAGAATCAAGGATGAAGATGGAGCAACAGGAAGCCATATTGTTCAGAGGAATGCAGAAATGAATGAAAGGGGAGATAAACTGCCTGAAAGGGCCATGGGGAAGATTATTATTGGCAACCAATCTGCGGAAAGGGAGAAAGCTGAAAATAAGCATCGAGAGCATACGAGAGTCAGTGGGGAAGAAAACCACGATGCAGCAATAGGCTTGGATTTTGCATCTGCTCAGGAGTTCTTTGGGGATCAGCAAAGAGTTGAAGGAATTGTGGGGTTGGCTAGAAGTATCAAGGATGAAGATGGAGCCACTGAAAGTTATATTGTTCAGACGAATACAGACACAAATGAAAGAGGAGCTGAACTGCCTGGGAGGGCCATGGAGGAGAAGATTACTGGCAACCAATCTAAAGAAATGGAAAAAGCTGAGAATATGAATGAAGAGTATATGAAGGTCAATGGTGAAAGAAACCATGTTGCAGTAATAGACTTGGATTCTGCATCTGTTCAGGAGTTCTTTGGGAATCAGAAAAGTTTTGGATGGACTGCTCAATCTGTGGAGAAGAAAGATGTTGGGAACCAAATGAATTCCAAGAAGAAAATGAAGCACAAGGAGAATGATTGTAAGAGAGATAAAGACAAGGCCAATGATTATAAAAAGAAACATAAATCAAAGGGTAAAGACGGAGATAAGAAAAAGAAAAAGAAAGAGAAAATGAAATAAATGATTAAACCAATGAATGAGCAACTTAAAAGGGCATTCCGAACGTGTTGAATGTTGAATTGTCTCCTTCCTCTCTGTAAAGTTTGTCTTGCCATTTCAACTTCAAGCCTCTTGACTTGCCCCTTGTTTGCCTGTCGCTATTGAATTGTAATGTGTATTTGTAATTGTATTGCTGAGGAAAGATGACAAATGATCTGATTGTAATAAACAGAGAATAAGGTAGAAGAGAAAGTTTTACAGAAGGTACAGCAAAGAGAATCTTATAACGTTTGTATTCTTCTTCAACCATACCTTTATATAAGCTAAGTAGATGTAAGAGTTGCATGAATTTATCACTCACTAAAATGAATTTTTCACCACCTAAATGTATAAACAAGTGGGAAGAACACCATATATTGAGTATGTAAATAAGGTGAAAGTTGAGAAAACTAAGGGATAAACTATATGAATGGTCACTTACCTTTATCATAACTTTTAACTTAATCATTTTCCTTTTAATATTTGTAAATTTAGTCATCTAACTTCATTTAAATTGCTACCGTTAATCACTCAGGAATTAGTTAACAATTTTCTGTTAATTTTAACTGGGGACATGGCACGAGCAAGAAAAAATAGTTGCATGACGCCTACATGAATCAAAATTTTATAAGTGTGGCACGAGCAAGAAAAAATAATTGCGTGATGCCTACTTGAACCAAAATTATATAAGTGTGGTAATTAGCGGCAAATCAATACTCTATCTGTCATGGAACAATATATGTTTTTTTATTTTAAAATAAATTCTAAATCAAAAAATGCCTATCATTTTAAAACGAAAAGAGTAAAAAAAAAAAAAAAGTAATTAAGTGGTAGAAGAATTTGCCAGAATTTAAAGCAAAAGAATATACTAACTTTTACCAAAAAAAAAAATATTATTAAGAAGGCCTAACTTTTACAATTTGGGATTTAAAGTGGTAACCTCTTTTCTACAACGTCCGTTCTCAGTTAAGGTTCTTAATAAAATACAATAAAAAATGCATATGAAGGAGAGAATTCAACAAAAGTGGAAAAGCCAATTCAAATATGATCGATACGTTGTTTTAGTTTAGTTCATTTGCAATTTATTTACCATATATTTGTGTAATACACTTTATTTGGTTTATTATTGATGGATACTGCGTGTTTTTGTACGTGTTTTGCACCTTGAATTGTTAATTCTACGGGTGGGACTTTCTTTCTTTCTTTCTTTCTTTTTTTTTCGACCATAGTTCAGTAAGTAGCTCCAAAGATCATGTTTGTTTCCTTAAAAAATTATTTTATACACCTAAAGGTTTTTTTTTTTTTTTTGAGCAAACTTGAATTTGTACATCATGTAATCATATTTTTCTTGGCTGGCACTTCATCATTAGATAACTTAACACGAAAATTGTTAACTAACAGTGAGTTAACTGTAAGTGACTAACATTAGTAATTTAAATGATAGTTTGGTGACTAATTTTTCAAACTTAAAAAGGATAGTGATAATGGAGCTATTATAAAGCTAAGTGACTATTCTTGTAGTTTATCTATACTAAAATATTTAGGATAAATTACTTTATATAGTAATATTGTTTCTAAAGAAAATGTGTAAAATTCACAGTTTGTGTAATTGATTCATAAGCGCATTTTAGGTTGAATTAATTGAAAATCTTTTACTAGATTGAAGTTTTTAACTTACTGAATTGCATTCCAAATTAAACTTGGTTTGTGTTACCGAAAAATGGTGAGCAGGGTTCTTGGCTAAAGGTTGTTGGATGTCGGAAACCTACAGGACAAGAACATGTTAGTGCTTAGCTAGAGATTGGAGTTGGTCTCTGGCTTGGCACTTCGATGTTCAACATAAGATATCGGTTCATGGAGGAAGAATGTAGGCTTAGTGTGTGTGTGGAATGAATGAATTGGGAATGAATCTGAGAAGAAAAAGGTAGGTGTGTGTGTGTGTGTGATGAGAGAGAATGAGTGGAGAAAGTACCTATTAGTCCAATCATGGTGTGCCACCTATTTATTGCAGAGTAGCCTCTTTGCAAATCTATTGTTTGGTATATTCCATAAGAATCCTGGGTTGGTCTAGATTCCCAAGGGCTTAGCCCACTATTTTTATATAGGTTACTTTTTGGTATAACACTTGCCCCCCAAACAAGTAATTTGAGTTGCAAAATGAGAGTTATTTTTGAAAAATATATTTCACAAGCCAAACTTTACATAATTTCTTAAGGAAGTGGCTTTCTAACCCTTGTGATTGTTGGGTTTTGCCAATTACTACAAGGTTCTACTTTTTAAACTTCCCTCATTGTGAGCTTTCTTGATTTTGTATTTCATCCAAGAATTAGCTTTCCTTGACTCTCAACCTAAGGTTAAGAAAGTCTTTTGGAAACTTGTGTGTTGTCTTTTCTACCATAAATGGCTACCATTGGTTGCTATAGTTGCCTTTTGATACCTAACCTTTTCCTTGATTTAAAATTCAAAAGTTTCTAACTTTTTAGTTCTGTAAGTTCAATCGTACTCTAATGGATATCTTAGGATACAAAATGATTTGCTACATTGTTCTCGACAAGATGCACTTGTCATTAACCATTATTAACCTCTGAAAATCACTTTTTAAAATGGATTTGTTTTGATCATAGATATGTTGATCCAACCATAGGTGATTGTTTGATTGTCTCATATATTTGACAACCACTATTGACCCCTTCTTCTTTATATATTAGACTTTGTCTCTATGTCACAATTTCCTTTTTCTCTTTTCTTTACAACCCTTATCTTCCTTCGGACCCTTAACCATGGCCACTGAATTCTTTAAGGTCCCTACCTCTCAATCAATGTCTCATGCCTCAGAATCAACTATTGCATCACACCACTAGCTAGAGTTCCTTCAAGATCTCAAAAAGGTAGCAGATGGAAAGTTGATTCTCCCTAGTTTTGAAGGGTTGGGTTCTTGGATCCATATACCCAAGTTGGAATTAAGAAAGGCTCCCAAGATCTTTTCCTCCCATGCTTTTTATAGTATTGTTTCTACAGGATCTAGTGTCCAATTCGTGAAGAGTGACAACGTATGCAAGATCCTTTCTTCCATGATTGTAAATAAGTTCTCTTTCTTTTTTCATTTGAAACCTAGTGAAGGTAAATGGGCTTATTTTCCCAAGAGAGATGTCAAGGTTTGTGTGAGCAAAAATGAGTCTTATAAAGTGGACAGCTCGTCAATCAAGGAATCTTATCTTCCTTTTAAAAAGAAGGACTGGAACAAAAGGTTCTTTTTTTTTTTTTTTTTTTTTTGTGGAGGACAAGGACTTGCTTGGTGTTTGTAGAGTCTATAGTAACACCATTCATAAGATCTACCTTGATGTGGTAGCCTATGGAATCATCAAAGTGTTGATAATGGGTTGACAGAGAGATTCTTACTATGAATGATCTAATCTCACTAGAGAATTTGATGGCTGCATGGTATGGATTAAATCCCCTGTTCCTTTCTTTATGACCTTAGTCCTAAAAGCTCCTGTGGATTTGGCCATGTTTGAGGAAGATGCTCCCTTTGAAATTGTTAGCAAAGATTGTCCCAGAAAAAAGTTGATTAAGAGAAAGAATCTTGAAAGGTTGTCTAGTGTTGTTGCTTTGAATGCTAATGTTTTAGTGAGTGTATATTTGATTTCCCTTCTCCCTATTGCCTGTACTTACTCTTACCATCTTTAATTTTGTATAGGAAGGAATAGCCTTTTTGGGGAAGAAAGTTAAACATGCCTTTGCACCCCAGTTTCTTATCTTTAAGGATCTAATTCCCCTTTATACAACTAGGTCTGCTTCCCAAAGGGTTCCTCTTGGTGGTACTTCTTTGAACAAAGATGTTGCCGTTATTCAAAATTAGTATCTTTGTTGCTCAGGATCTTACTATTTCTTCCTTAGTTGATAAGATCAGAGCCTAAAGCATAGATATTTTTTAACGATTCTCCACCTATTCTTTTGAATGACCTGGCTCTTTTTGTGGATGCTCTTGGTATGGATTCTACCATTCATGTCAATGTGATGCTATTGACATTCTTCCTTTACTTTCAACTCTCAAAGTTGAAAAAGGAAAAAAATCCTATTATTCATGAAGTTCTTGTTGTACGTGAATCTTACCTTGCAACATTGAGATCACATTTTGAATTTGTGGATCCTAAAGATAGACCTACCTTTTTGACAGGTGTATTTTTCTTGGCTAATTTAGATCAAGAACTAGTTAAAGAAAAGGAAAATCTCCACATAGGAATTGATGCCACTGTTGCAGGTGAGATCCTTAGGCACTATGTTTTCTTTCTTTTATCTATTATGTCTTCTTGACTGCTATCAAGTGTATATTCTCAAATTATGATCCAAATTATTTACATCACAGTGTCTCTATCTTGAACAAATCAACTGAAGTTAGAAAACTAACTGATAAGTTAATGCATTTTGTTGATCGTTATACTTTAATTCATTTTTTAGTTGAATCTCAATTAGACTTTGCCCATCATAACATTGTGAGGATAAGTTGCTTCTTGTTGTCTTTTTATTGTCAATGCTTTACTTTCTAGCTCTTTACTTTTTTCTCTTTGAGACGTGCAGATGATACAATAAGGATAAGAGAGAATGCTTCTTTTATGGCCCAAGAATGTGTTGACAAGTTGCAAAAGAGATATGACAAACTGCTCTAAACATCTCTTAAATACCAAGCTAGGATTGTTAATGCTAAAAAAGCTATTGAGGAAAAATACCATGTAGATAAGTCTATAAATGAAAAACTTCATTTAGAAGTCTAGAGATTGTACAATTCCACTGTTAGCTTGGGATTTGAGAGGAAGAAGTTTGCTAACGAAAGGAAAGAGCTTGCTATGGAGTTTGAAGTAGAGAGAAGTCTTTGCTAAAAAGAGAGAAGCAACTTTGAAAATAGTGAGAAAGCTTTATATAATTAAATTTTTTATCTCTAAAAGTCAACGGTAAGTAGGGAAGCAAGAATCAAAGATTGGCAAAGAAGTGTGCTTGCTTAAAAGAACAACTTTCTAAGAAGAATCTAGGGTGATAGTGAGATTCAAAAATCTCCTGAAGGCAGCTCCTATCTTTTGGAACACTGCCTAAGTTATCTAAACTTGGCATTGGACATGGTTTAAAGCCATTCTTCTTGAATTGAGGAGCTTTCTTACTAAATAAATTCAATTATTGAAGGCTATAACAAATTTTTCCTCTTTTGCCTCCAATCATCCCTAATGCTAGATTCTACTATCTAAAAGAGGTTATAGAGTAGGCT